TTTTTTGGTACCAAGAATTGAACTCGGGGTCTTGTGCTTGCAAGGCAGGCGGTGGAACCACTGAGCTAAATCCCCAGCCCAACCTTTTACATTCTTAGCACTCCTACTGTCATGATATTTTTAAGCCATTCACAATTTTTCTTTAAAGGATAGTTTTTATTCTCCTAGTAGGTGTGAGTGTGTCAGCATTCAACTAAAAAGGGCCCACTCAAGCTTTTCTTACTATATTCATAAGGAAAACTCAGAGGTGAGTCAACATGTGTAATCAAACATTCTGCCAATCCCTACCTCCTTCCTTCCCCTCCTGCTACTAAACCAAAATAGAAAAGCCATTGAGGAAAATAGGGTGTGGGGTGATACTTTGGTCTGTCATCAACTTCAGAAATTTCATTTTATCAAGTACCCAAAGTTGTTCAAAAGTGGCTAACTCACATGAAACAAATTCACAGTGCCTCAGTTTCCTCAGCTGTAAATGGAGATAATGCCTTTTGTTGTGTATGTCATACATCCAAGACCTGCCATAAAACTGTACAACAGAGGACTAAGAGGAAAAGTCATAAACTATTTGAGTTAACCACTTACATATGTAACATATACCTTTCCTGTGACTGGGATATCTTTGCCCACTGTTTAAGATGTACTTACCAGGATAGCATGCCTGAAAAGCAGTATTTTTGGCCATAAGGTTCCCACAGCAAAAAATGCTAGCTAGCTTCAAAGCATATTTCCTCTAGATTCTGAAAGACAAAACTGCCCACCTAGGAGCACCCCCAACCAATACCTAGAACTCTAACATCCATCAGTCACTCACTCTTCCTAGCCCTAATATGGGTTGCTCTGCAGGGTCAGCCCAGCTTCTAATCTTTGTTCAGGATCTTATAGCCTCATCTCAAGTCCTCAGCTTTCCCTTCTGTCCTGTCAAGAGGAGCATGTTCTTCTATCTGTCTTTTCCTTTACTAAATCTTACTCACTACCTGCTTTGACCTCTGCTCTCCTCTCCACTTTAGGCTTCATACCCATACACTTCTAGTCCAGAAATGTCTGGATTTTAATTTTATACTAATTCCCTGTAATCTGGTCCTTTGATGCAATAACTCCCATACCTTGTTATCTGAAGACTAGGTTAGACCTTATCATAACACAAATCCAGGTACTCAGGACATCGCCCACTGATAGGAGTCTCACAGGTCAGTGAATGGTTATGCTGGTCAGTGAGAGATTATGCTGTTTGGTGGGGGGGGGTGTTTTGTTTTTGCTGGTTCTTAAAACAGGTAACCCCTCTCTGGCAGATACACTGGTGACTGCTCTGTAGCCATACACACATCGACATCCATGCAGTGTACATCCAAAGGGCTTCAAACCAATTTCCTTCACTGCTAGTTACCCTTATCATTCCCCTTTCCAGAACTCAAGAGTCCTCAGAGTTGCTCTCACTTCCAGTTCTGAATGAATTTTTTTTCAAAGAAAGGCTAAACCTGGGGACTTTGGTAAAAGCTGAACATCTATTTCCCATGTTCTCATTTTCTAGTCCTAGTTCTGATTTTGATCCTGTCAGAGGAAGCAAAAGATGGTTTCTCAATCCTGGCCGGGATGTCTTCTCAATCTCCTAGTTCTCCTAGCCTCTCCATGCTGCCTCCTTGGTGCCTCACTTGTTATGAGATGGCTGGAGATGCCACTTGTAGAGTCCAGCAGAGGGCACTGAAGTTCTGGCTTTTCAAACAGGAACATGAATGACACCATTCAGCCAAAATAAGAACTGGCTAGAGCCTGAGCCCCTCTGCCTTTCCAGGCAGGCACGGTGCCACTCAGCTACATCTCTGCCCCCACTCTGCCTTTCCAAATGGCTAGACTTACTGAAGTATTGAAGCTACAGAATTGTATCTTGGAAACAGCCTGTACTGTCTTGTAACTGCTACAGACCAGCATGCCCTATCTCTGTGAAACTAGAGTGGAAAATATTCATGCTATTCATAGCCATTCTGCCAAAACCTACAGGATGAGCTCCATGGAGGTGACTACGTCTGTAGGCAGCAGACAGGCCACTTTTTCCAAAGAGGCTCAGCCTTTCCCCAACTAGTCTTCCCACTGGGACAGGTCTCATCCACAAGTTCCAGCCCTCTCTGCTCCCACATTTGGGAAAGCTCAGGGAGGCAGGGTTCTGCATCTCTGTTAATCAATGGAGTCATGGCTCCTACTCAACTCTAGGCTGGTCCGGGTGATCAGACACCTGTGACAAGACTCCCAGACAACTGTACTCAGGGGAGCCCATACTAGGGTTGGTTCTATTAGTTAAGTGCTTGGTCTTTCCTGGAAGCACTAATGAAGTTATTTTAGGAGGTAGTTTACTATGATGGGTAAAAGCATGGGTTCTGGAGCCAAGCTTCTTGGATTATTTTAAATTCATGTCTCTGCTACAGGCTTGTTATGTGTTTCCTTGGGCAAATGACTAAACTAATCTGTGCCTTTAGCTTCACTCTGTAAACTAGTAATAGTACTTACCTTGTACAGTTGTGCCAAGCACATTCATTATTTGCTATTTTTATTATCTCTAGAAAATCCATGTACTCCACTTTATATCAGCAGTCTACATTAAGTCCTGCTGCTGCTGTGTCATGCCTCCTCTACTCCTGTGTTTGAGATTTTGAAAAAGCACACCAGTGAGATTATTTTTTGACACAGAGGCAAAGGAAATGTCCCCAAATGGAAAACATGCCCCTGGGGATTGGTCTGGTTCCCTAGGCTCATTTTTCTGTCCACTTCCTCCCAAAGCACTGATAATCTGATATCAGAAAAGACAGTGCTGGGCCAGGAATTTAACTCAGTGGTTCCGCCACCTGCCTCATAAGCACAAGGACCCGAGTTCAATCCCTGGTACCAAAAATAAAAAAAGACGGTGCAAAGTATCCCTCCAAATAGACTTCAGCCAATTTCAGTACATCTTAATGCTCCAGCCAACTTCAGGGAAGGATTAATGTCCAATGTTTGATATGACCTCCTAGACAGGAGTCGTTTTAAAAGATATATACTATAAATTTTCTCTCAAGCTGAACTTGTATGAATTTCTAGTCAGGGTGGAATTACTCTCCAGGTAGCAACATCGACTCTAAAACAACTGCAAATAAAGTGTGTTGGATATTATCACCACTGTCCCCAGCATCTGGAATCAAACAATCTAGAAGACTTCTGGCAGGCATTGAGGCAGACACATTCTGAAACTTTTTAGCCTGAAACATTGGGACCAAGTACCTCAGTTCCCTCCCTCGTCTGTCACAGCCATGGTGATTTGATTCCTGACATCCCGAAAATCAGTGAGTGGCTAGGAAAGAGTCGTGCCATGTAGCTAGTTGGTGTGGAGATGAGAGAATCAGAAAATCAAAAGCCCCATCTGCCGAGTACTCAGAATAATTGTTCTCATTTCAGACTGGAAGGAACCAGTGCCCACTAGGCTTCCCCCCATTACCTCAGAACATGGGAATTATTCTGTGCACCAGAATAGCCACATGAAGTACCATAAAGCTGCACAGAAGGTGTTATTAAAGACATGTAAGTAAAAAGACATATTTGTGCTTCTAATGAATGCCTGGGGCAGCATGGACCACAGGTGGGGCGAGGATGCTAGGAAGAGAGACAAAGAAGGGGGAGAAAGTAAACTTGAATGGTGAATGAGCATAATAAAATAAAAACTGAATCAGATATGGAAACACAAGATTCAGGTACTGCCTCTTTATAGACAGCTCACCTTTAGTAAGTCACATCCTTTATTATCCTGCTTCCTCATTCAATTTATTTTATTTTATTTTATTTTTGGGGTTTTTTGTTGGGGTTTTTTTTTGTTGTTCTTTTGGAGTTTTTTTTTGTTTTTTGTTTTTATATTGGGGATTGAACTAAGGACCTTGTGTTTGTAAGGCAGGCGCGGTGTCACTGAAAAAACTTTTTTAGTTTTTTTTGAGACACGGTCTCACTATGTAGTTTAGGCTGGCCTCGAAATCTCAGTGATCCTCCTGCCTCAGCTTCCTGAGCACCAGGATCACAGGTGTGCACCACCACACCTGGTCCTCCTCATTCATTTTAAACAAAAGAGAAAGTGAGAATGCCTACTCTACTGCTCTACTAAAGAATTGTGAGGATCACACCAAAACTAAAACAGTTTAGGGAAGTAGTTTGTATATCATCACTTATACATGAAGAATGGTAGAACAAACACCAGCTCTGAAATTTTGGAATTTGAAACTTTATTTAAACTAAATAAATTGTATGACCTTGGACAAGATCCTTTAGGGACAAGGGCTGGGTCTTTAGCTCAGTGTTTCCACTGCCTGCCTTGCAAATACAAGGTCCCAAATTTGATACCTGGAACCAGAAAAAGGAAAAAAAAAAAAAAAAGATCCTTTAGGGACAAAGAAGGCAAGTTCCTCCCTGAACCATCTAAAAATCAGAATAATACGCTTTAGCACTGTTATGAAAAAGCATGTAGGACAAACTTCTGATACATGCAGTACATTGTAGGCTAGTCCTCAAAAGATCACAATCTGTATGCCATCTATATAACTTCCAGAAAATGAAGATCATGGCCGGAAGAAATAGCTCAATGGTGCCACAGCTGCCTTGCAAGTGCAAAGTCCTGAGTTCAGTCCCCAGCACTGGGGTTGGGGGGAAGATCAGGGTGCTATAACTGTCCTGTATCAGTATGTCAACACCTTGGTTGTGGTAGTGTACTATAGTTTAGCAAGATCTATTTTTTAGGGAAAGGGGGTACACAGTTTCTCCAAGTATTATTTCTTACAACTGTCTATAATTATCTTCATATTTAATTTAAAAAGCAAAAATAATTTTAGAAGCCAAAGCAGGCATATGTAGGAAGAGGGTTATCTAAGAGTTGTATCTAATGTTAATTTCATTGCTGAGACTGTATCTCAGTGCCTTTGTGCATGCTAGGCAAGAACTCTATCACCAAGTTATACCCATAGCCCTTTCGTATTTGAGACAGGGTGTCCCTAAGTTGCCAGAGCTGACTTCAAACTTGCCATCCTTCTGCCTCAGCCTTCTGACAGTAAAACCCTTTTTTTTTTTTTTCCCCACTACTGCAGATTGAATGCAGGACCTTTTCACTAAGCTGCTTCCTTTTTTATATTTTGAGACAGGCTTGAGATAGGTCACCAGATAAATCACTAAATAGCCCAAGCTGGATTCCAATTTTCAATCTCCCACCTAAGCCTCCGCAGTATTTGGGAGTACAGGTATATACCACCATATCTGGCTCTGACAGTAAAACCATTAAGCATATGAATTAGTAGGAAAACTGAAAATGAAACATTGAATTGGAGATTTTTTTTTTTTTTTTTTTGGTACCAGAGATTGAATTCAGGCCCTTGCCACTTACGAGGCAGGTGCTGAAACCACTGAGCTAAATCCCAGCCCTGTTGGAGATTTAACCAAAAAAAAAAAAAAAAGGTATTGTAAAGATTAAAATACTAGCCATAATTCTAAAGATTTGTTTTGTTTTGTTGGGGGCAGTTAGACGGCTTCATTATGTAGTCTAGTCTGGCCTTGAACTTGCAATTGTGCTTCAGCCCCCTGAGTACTAGAATTACAGGGTGGGGGTGGATTTTTTTTTTTTCTTTTTTTAGACAGGGTCTCACTCTGTATTCCAGGCTGGCCTTGAACTCAAAGCAATCCTCCTGCCTGAGTTTCTGTGCTGGGATTACAGACGTGTACCACCTTACCTGTAGGATTGGAGGTGAGGCACCATGCAATAATTCTAAGTATTAAGAATATATAAATTTTATCTTTACATGACAGGTCTTGGTTCTCATTTTTTTCCCTTTGTCCCTGTAAAGGTAGAAGATCCCAATGATGAATGTAACTGTACTGTATACCTAAAATGTACCAATAAACTCAATGAGGAAAAAAAAACTAAACTGTAAATTACCATACGCTTGTGGGTAAATAAATATGGGTACATATATGTGTATGTATGTAACATATCTGTCCATGCTTAGAGATAGGTATGAAGAATATTTACAGCCTTGGTGCAGCAGTAATTGTCTCGAGGAAAGGGAATATGATTGGGATGCATTCAGGGGCAAATTTTCTCTTTATCCTATGTACTTTGGCACTCTAGATTATTTTTTACAATGAGAATCCATTATATTATTGCATAACTTAAAAATAAATAAGTTAAATTTTTAAAAATATATAAATATAGGTATGAAGAATATTTACAGCCTTGGTGCAGCAGTAATTGTCTCGAGGAAAGGGAATATGATTGGGATGCATTCAGGGGCAAATTTTCTCTTTATCCTATGTACTTTGGCACTCTAGATTATTTTTTACAATGAGAATCCATTATATTATTGCATAACTTAAAAATAAATAAGTTAAATTTTTAAAAATATATAAATATTATAAACTGGTAGAATTAGTCATATAAATAGTTAAAGTGTGTGTATGTGTGGTGCTAAGGATTGAACCCAGGGTCTGGTGCATGCTAGGCAAGCACTCCACCATTAAGCTACATCTTCAGTCCCTGAAAATATATTTTCTTGAAAAGCTAGTGATGCCAAGTATGGGGGTACATGCCTATAATCTTAGTATTTGGGAAGCTGAGGCAGGAGGATTACTGTGAGTTCAAGACCAAGCTGGGTTACACAGTGAGGTCAAAGCCAGACTGAACTGCATAGTGAGGCCCTGTCTCAAAAAATGAAAAAGGAAAAAAAAAAAGCTAGTAACTGTCAGATAATTACCTACAGTGAACAAAGGAAGGCATTATTTCAGAGGAAGGCAAGGAATGAGAATGATTAAGACTAGAAAAAAGGAAAAACAGTGAATCCATAGACCCCTATCTTGTAAAACTTTATATTTATA